ACACTGAGGTTAGATTAAAAATACTTACATGAAATTATCAGCTGAATAATATTACTAATAATTTCATATCCACTTTTTAAGCCAGAATTTTTTTTTAGTTTTCAAGAATGGAATAATTTTCCGGTTTCTCAATTATCCGATACTTCAGTTTTACCATTTATTATTATTTCAATTTTCCAGGTTTTTGTTTTCTCAATTTTTCGATTTTTCAAACTTTTCGACGTTTCAAATTTGGAATTTTTGGATTTTTCTGCGATTACTCAATTTTTCGATATTTCGGTTTTTTGGATTTTCAATTTTTCAATTTTTAGCGTTTCTAAATTTTCGATTTTTCAATTTCTGGATTAATCGATTTTTAGACATCGGTTTCTCGATTTTTCGATTTTTCGGTTTTTTATTCAGATTTTCGATTTTCAATTTCATCTTTTTAATTTTCCAATTCTTCAATTTTGGAATTTTTCAATATTTCGATTTCTCAGTTTTTCGTTGTTAATAGGCGTCGGTTTTTTACTTTGAAAGTATTGTATAAATCTAGTTAAATTATCTTTTGACTGCTTTCTATGCGATACTGATTTATTTATTGGCACTAAAACATTTAGGTTAGATTAAACGAGCATGAAATTTTGAGCTGACTAATATTAGTATAATTATTTTTTCATATCTACTTTTTAAGCAACAGAAAAGTCGAAATTGAATTTTATTTTCAAGAATGGAATAATTTTTCACTTTGTCAATTTTCGGATATTTCAGTTTTACGAGTTTTCATTTTTTCAATTTTTCAGGTTTTTGTTTTCTTAGTTTTTCGATTTTTGAATTTTTGGATTTTTAAATTTTTCTTTGATTATTCAAGTTCACCTTTTTATCCTATTTACCGACTTATCAATTTATAGGTTTTTCAAATTCTTAATTTGTTAATTTTTCGATTTTTTCAATTTTCAGACGTTTCATTTCTACGATTTTTCAATTTTTCTTTGATTTTTCCATTTTTCCAGTATCCGATTTGCCGACTTATCAATTTCTCGGGTTTTCGAATTTTAATTTTTCGGTTTCTCCATTTTTGAATGTTTCAGTTTTACGATTTTTTGTTTTTTTTAATTTTCCGTTTTTTTTTGTCAATTTTTCGATTTTCGTAATTCTTCAAAGTTTCAGTTTTGGGATTTTTGAATTTTTCTGCGATTTCCATATTTCGGTTTCTAATTCTTCAATTTTCGATTTTTCTATTTTTCAGTTTTTAGTGGTTCTGGAATTTTAATTTTTAAATATCTCGATTAATCGATTTTTCGGTTTTTCTGATAGTTTCTTGATTTTTCAAATGGTCGATTTCCTTCTTTTAATTTTCCAATTCTTCAATTTTCCGATTTACCAGCTTATCAATTTTTTGATATGTCAGTTTTGGGATTTTTCAATTTTTCTAGTATACGATTTAGCGACTAATCAATTTCCTGGTTTTTAAAATTTTTATTTTTCGGTTTCTCAATTTTCTGATATTTCAGTTTGCGATTTTTTTTTTTTTCAATTTTCGGCGGTTTTGTTTCCTCAATTTTGCGATTTTTCAAAATTTTCGAAGTTTTAGTTTTGGGATTTTTGAATTTTTCTGTGATTACTCAAAAATTCGATATTTCGGTTTTTATTCTTCAATTTTTCGATTTTTCTATTTTTCAATTTTTAGTGTTCCTAAATTTTTGATTTTTCAATTTCTCGAATCATCGATTTTTCGACTTATCGATTTCTCGATGGTTCAATTTTTCGATTTTTCAGTTTTTTCATTCAATTTCTCGATTTTTCAAATTTTTGATTTCATTTTGTTAATTTTCCAATTCTTCAATTTTCCTTTTACCAGCTGATCAATTTTTTCGATGTCAGTTTTGGGATTTTTTAATTTTTCTTTGATTTTTCAATTTTTTCGACTTTCGATTGTCAATTTCTCGGTTTTTCGAATTTTTAATGTTTGGGTTTCTCAATTTTCCGATATTTCAGTTTTACGATTTTTTATTTATTCGATTTTCCGGGTTTTTGTTTTCTCAATTTTTCGATTTTTCATAATTTTCAAAGTTTCAGTTTTGGGATTTTTGAGTTTTACTGTCATTACTTAATTTTTCGATATTTCGGTTTTTTGGTTCTTCAATTCTTCGATTTTTCTCTTTTTCAATTTTTAGCGTTTCTAAATTTTTGGATTTTTAAATTTCTCGACTAATCGATTTGTCGATACTTCGACTATTCGATTTTTCAGTTTTTTGGTACAGTTTCTCGATTTTTCCAGTATCCGATTTACCGACTTATCAATTTCTCGATTTTTCAAGTTTTTAATTTCTCGGTTTCTCAATTTTCCGATATTTCAGTTTAACGATTTTTTATTTTTTCAATTTTCCAGGTTTTTTTTTCTCAATTCTTCAATTTTTCAAATTTTTCGAAGTTTCAGTTTTGGGTTTTTTTAAATTTTTCTGCGATTACTCAATTTTTCCATATTCCGGTTTTTCGATTTTTCTATTTTTCAATTTTTAGCGTTTCTAAATTTTAGATTTTTATATTTCACGATTAATCGATTTTTCGGCTTATTGATTTCTCGATTCTTCGACTTCTCGATTTTGCGATTTTTTAATTCAGTCTCGATTTTTCAAATTTTCGAATTCATTTTTCTAATTTTCTCCGATTCACCGACTTATCAATTTCTCGGTTTTCCAAATTTTTAATTTTTTGGTATTTCGGTTTTAGGATTTTCTATTTTTTCAATTTTCTATTTTTTTCGAACTTTCAGTTTTGGGTTTTTTGAATTTTTCTGCGATTACTCCACTTTTCGATATTTCGGTTTTTTGGTTCTTCAATTTTTCATTCTTCAGTTTCTCAATTTTTCAAGTTTTCGATCTTTTAATTTTTCGATTTCAAAAATTTTTAATTTTTCAATTTTTGGCGTTTATAAATTTTAAACTTTTCGATTTTTCAGTTTTTTATTTAATTTCTTGATTTTCCTAATTTTCGATTTCATTTCTTTAATTTTTCAATTCTTCTGTTTTCCAATTTACTAGTTTATCAATTTTTCGTTGCTAGCAGACATCGATTATGTATTTTGAAATTATTGTATAAAATCTAGTTGAATTATCTTCCGACCACTTTCTATGCAATAATGATTTATTTATTGGGCACTAAAACATTGAGGTTAAATTAAAAATTTTGAAATTTTTAACTGACTAATATTACTTAGTAATTATTTTTTCAGATCTACTTTTGAAGCAAGAAAAAAGTCAAAATTGATTTTTATTGTCAAGAACGGAATAATGTTTCGGTTTCTCAATGTTCCGATACTTCAGTTTTACGATTTTTCATTTCTTCAATTTTTCGGATTTTGGTTTTCTCAATTTTTCTATTTTTCAAATTTTTCGAAGTTTCAATTTTGAGATTTTTAAATTTTTCTGCGATTATTCAATTTTTCCATATTTCGGTTTTTCAATTCTTCAATTTCCCGATTTTACAATATTTGTAATGATTTTTTCATATCTACTTTTGAAGCAAGAAAATTCACAATTATTTGAAAAGATGCATAAATTAAGTTATCATGGAAACTACAAAAAAGAGCATCCCTCGCCTCTGAAGTACATACAATTACATAAATATATATCTATACAACGGAAAAAATATATTATCAATACAAGCTTAACTCTGATAGTTTATATACATCGACCTTCAAAACTGGTTGACCAGAATAATATATATTCTGGTATAATACTATAATGGTAGAAAATATGAATTCCTAAAATAAAAAAATCAATGCTGATTCATAAACCACAAATATAGGTGTATGTTACATTATAAAATTGAAATGGCTTACCTAATATACATATAAAATTTGATACTAACCGATCAAGTAGTTTCAGAGATAATCTGTCTGACGAAAATCGACAGAAACGGGAGACCAATTTTTTCGTACTCTAGGAATGATGAAACGTCGAGAAAATATAAAAACCTGACGGACCATATTACAACGGTTTGCAGTCGGGAAGTTAAAAGTCGCCTGACAACCCATGAAATGTATTTTTGAAATAATGAAGTTGGCACTGCAATTATTTGACATGTGGAAATGATTATCACGAAAAAGAAACGTGTTGATGCTGCCAACATTAATTTTCAAAGATTCCTAGACAACTTTGCCAAAATCAACGCGTTTCTTGTCAGTTTACTAATTACAGTCAAATAACTGTCAAATAAAGTGTCAAAGTAGCTGCAATGCCAACATTATTATTTCAAAAATAAATGCCGAACAAATGATTGTTTGATTTTTGAACAAATAATACAGAAAAGTGAGTTTTAGTAATTTCTAAACACTTTTGGTTGCCATAATTCTGAACTTAGACTCGTAAATAATGCTACTGATTTTCATAAAATTGGATAAATGCATTTTTATTGAGTCGTTACTTTAGCTCACTTTAAAAGACTCACAATAATAAAAATAATGATAATAACTTCACTGTCGCTATAAATTTTCGAATTTATCTTTTTTTTTGTAATTTTAATATTTTGTAGTAACGAAACTTCAAGATGACGTCATTAATTTTTTGGGGGGGATGAATAAACTCATTTTGGTTCTCGTTTTGTCACTCTCATGAATTTTTGAGTGCGCTTAGATTTCAAAATACTGTACTTTCAGAGTTTAAGAGCTTTTCAACGAAAACACGACAGACAGTGAGACAAACGGTGTCTTAAAACCTGCATTTTCGCGTTCTTCGGGCCACTAATACGTAACTACTGGTCAAAGCGATCCTTGTCACGATTTCAAAATAATTTCGTTAAATGCAGTCTTGTGAGTTTTTGTTCTTATTCCAGCGGAATTCGTAACTAGATAAGCCAAAGCATTCTGTTCAACAGTAAAGTAAGCAAATCGTTTCATCGATGAAATCACAAATCCGAAATCGATGTCCGGAATCCCAGCGGAACTCCCCCGATCCGGTCGTCGTCGAAAAATAGCCTTCCGGTTCGTTCCGAAATCGTTCGAATTAACCCTTTCCACCATGCTAATCTCCTCGAGGAATTATTTGTAAACACATAAGATTATTCGACAATTTCACGTTAAGATCTCGTCGTAAAACGAAACAAGCACTAAGAACGAACACTTCAAAGGGGTGCGAGTCTCGGCAGATGTAAACAAAGACGCGCGAATTACATCACAATATGAGAGAAAAAGCAACAACATCAAATTGCACATAGCAGAACGTGTAAAGTATATGTATAAGAGGCCCTCTCCGAAGTTGTAACCGTTAAGGGTGCGACAGAAACGGAAATACACGATCCCGCGTAGCTGAAGAGAAAGAAAGAATATCAGGTAAAGTTAGGGGTGTTTCTGTTGAAAGAGGGAGTGTCCTCAATTTCACCGCCCTCTTGATCACACAAACTCTCTCAAAACACTTACTACCAGTATTTGGTCATAGGCAATCTAGTTGTTTGCTGACGATATTTATACACCGGCCGAAGCATAAATAAAAGGACACTGTGTAAGTGCGAAAATATACAGGGTGGAGTGATTAAAAATGAGTTCGCCGGTTCGCGATATAGAGGTTAACGTGGTCTCTAGTCCGGAGTCCTCCAGCAGGAACGGCTCGCCCGAACCCGAAAATTTTCGCCTCATCAACCACATTTCGCCCCCGAACATTACGTGCTTCCCCGTTATCAAAACCAGTGACGACGAAAAGACTGACAACAAGGACCTGTCCAAGGTGCAGAAAAGCTCGGGAGCTTCGACGAATTTTTCCATTTCGAGTATTTTGTCGCGGACGGAACCGTCGGCGAAGAAAAACGGTTTTTTTGCTACTGGACAGGGTATCTTAGACGGCGGTGTTACCAACAATACTGACAGTGCCATGCTTTCTCGGTGAGTTTTTTCCGATGCGTCAATTTTAATTAAACATGACACTTAATGAGATACACCAGAAAAACCACTATCGCTCTGCTTCATCTAGCCTATTAGAGCTCTTTTTAATTGAATATTTATATATCAAACGTCGAAAGTGTGATGTTAGTAATGTAAATTTATTAAGTCGCGCATAAGTGATGGTTTCCGTTTTTTTATACATTTTAGATTTATTAACACTGCGCTAATTAATACTTAAAACCCCTCTTGATTTTATGCTAATTATTACTAAAATTAAGTCGCAAGGTTATCGCCTAGCAAAACAGACGTTAGTTAATTTATTATGTTTGTAAAACTTGTTCGATTTACATATTGCGAAAAGAAAAAGTGATAAAGTGGCTAATTTTTAATTTTTATTAGTTTCAAATTACCATCTTAAGTATTTTTACATGTGATAAAATTTTAAGTAGTTGAAGAAGACATCTGTTAAGTCCGCATTTACATTAAAGTTTAAGAAATATTGACACAAGATTGCTCGAATACACACATAAATATGTATACCGAAACGATATACTATCGGAGTTTTAATTAGTTCATTCGTAGATTTTCACCCAAACACACAATCACTTAAATAAGAAAAAGCTTTACCGAAGTTTAACAAAACTACGACAATTCCGAAATAAGAAATCATACAGTCAAGTCAGCCTTGGAAATGTACATTTTATGCAGTTTTAAATTAGCTATTTTAAAACTACTGTCTGTCTACCGTTTGGTTTCGCAACTGTCATTTATGCAATTTTTGTGTTTCTGTCACTATTCTAACTGCAAAAATGATTTTCGAGTAAAAGAAACATTTTTCTTTGTACTTCAGTTTCTCTATCTCTTCTTAATAATTTTCATTATATTATTTAGTGTTTCTATTTTAAAAGATAATGTTTTCATTTGAGAGATTTTTAAAATATAAGCAATTCTTCGGGCAGGTTATTACTAAATTATGCTATACCCTTCAAGCTAAAAATAACTGCGTTTACAGAATTTCGATATCTCTATTCGTTCCGAAAATATATCAGGCCGCGGAATTTTTACTGGGACACTCAGGATATATAAAAAAATAAGGCTAACCTGTGTTCAAAATATATATGTGTCTTCGTTGCTCAGCGTAATTATTTGTGGTTCCAAATATTAAAAAAAAGTACTCAGAATTATGATTGTGTTATAAGATATTTCCACACGCATGTCAAGACAAGTTTTTTATTTATTTATTTAATTTTAAGTTTTTTACGGCAAAAATTGATTTTTTATGATTTCTTTGATGATAACTTCAGTTTATTTAAATTTATTAAAAATTATCTAGTTGTCAAACTTGAGGAAATTTTGTGTCATCATGTTGATTTGTTCCAGGAAGGGACTAAAAACGTTTTTATTTCAAAGATTTTTAAAATATAAGCAATTCTTCAGGCACATTATTTATTAAATGTTACGAAAAACACCACGAAAAATACAACTATATATTTTTAATTCCTGCTAAAAAAGATGTTCTAGGTGTTGACGATTTTGTCACCAGGTACAATCAGACAAAAGTAATGTTTCCACTTCTGGTTAAATTTATTTATTTATTTTTTTTATCAACTGAAAATGAAATAAATACGTAAGTAGATATTTTATATCATTTTAATTCCAATTTAACGTTCTATCAAAATCCGTTACAAAATGTAGGTATACGTCGCGACGTTGACGCCATATGTATATGCGTCACAATTGCAGTGTACTAAATTAAGCTAAAAAAAATGGCGTTTACAGAATTTTAATATCTCTACCCGTTGTGAAGATATAAGGCCGCGGAATGTTAACTAAGACACTCGGTATATCTAAAAAAACTAGCGTGTGTCTGGTTCTTTTACGCTACTATTTTTTTTTTGCAGTCAGTATGTTAGTGGCAAATAAAATGGTGAATTTCGTTGCTCAGCATAATTATTTGTGGTTTAAAACAAAAAAAATACTTAGAATCATTGTGTTCTAAGATAGTTCGACACGCATGTCAGGACAAGTTTATTACTCCTATTTATTTTTTTATTTTTGTTTTTAATTGTTTGGGATAACGTCATCATTTTTATGGTGGGGATAAATATAATGTGTTTCCAAGTTCAGTTTCAAGAAAATTGCGTCAGAATTTTTACACATTACAATAATTCTCTAATTTTCAAAATCATCTTACGTAATCGATACAAAAATTAAAAAATATTATCAGGAAACAGATTTCAAGAATTTCATTTCTGATAACTTTCAATTTTTTTAATTTATTTAAAATTATCTAGTTTTCAAACTGAAGGAAATTTTGTTGCATTAATGACGTCATTACTTTGTTGAAGGATATTTGTTAATGTTTTTAAATCTATAAACAATGCGACTCATACAAAACTGACTCATTGACAAACATGTAATTCTGATTACTTCTAATTACTTAGCAAAGGTTTATGATGACATCATCAATTTATTGAAGAAAATGAAAAGAAAAAATTTTGGTGCTTTATTTTAATGTTAATTTTTCAACATTTCCCTCAGCTGTTGCTTGAATTGGCTAATCAAAGCTGAGTTTTCTGTAAATATTAAACTTATTATGGACTGCTTTACTGTACTTTTAAACATACCGGGTGTCCGGAAAATGGCGGATTCTCTTCAGTACGTTATGTACGGGGGTTTCGGGAGACCCAACTCAATAAAACAAAAATTCTTTATGATGTAGATTACGAAAAAACAATTTTTCACTAATAAATAAACAAAAAAAAAACATTTAATAAGACATTTATAAATTATAAACAAAACAAAACATCAAAAGAAAAATCCATTAAAGCATTACCAACTAAACACTAGACAAGATGTTCAAAATTCTTGCCTTGTGCATATAAGTAAACTCGTAATGTTTCCAAATTTTGATCATTTTTTGTAAACATTAGTCATCAGTAGGTACTTGCTAAGATAAAACTAATTTTGGCATATCACATACCTTCCAAGAAAATAGAGGGTGGGTGGGCGGGGCTAGTAGCTGTCAAGAAAAGACGGATTTTGGCAAGTGAGACACCTTTTAAGAGAAGCTACTAGCCCCGCCCATTCCTAGATGGTATGTCATTTGCCAAAATCACTTTTATCTTAGCAGATACTAGCCCCACCCACCCACCCACCCTCTCTTCTCTTAGAAGGTATGTGATTTGCCAGAGTCAGTTTTATCTTGGCAGATACTAGCCCCGCCCACCCACCCTCTCTTCTTTTAGAAGGTATATGATTTGCCAAAGTCAGTTTTATCTTGGCAGATACTAGGCCCGCCCACCCACCCTCTCTTTTCTTAGAAGGTATGTGATTTGCCAAAATAAGAAAAGAGAGGGTGGGTGGGGGGTGGGGTTAGTAGCTGTCAAGATAAGACTGATTTTGGCAAATCAGATACCCTCTAAGGAAAGAGAGGGTGGATGGGCGGGGCTAGTATCTGCTAAGGTAAAACTGATTTTGGCAAATGAGATAGAACACCAAAGTCCGCCAAAAATGTTTTAAATAATTTACAAAAAAATATCCCTCAAATGCTCCCAAAATAATACACCATGGATACACAAGAGTCTCCGAATATCTGGAACTCTTGGAATGTCTGGAAACTCTAGAGTCTCGGAATATCCAGAATTTTTGAAATATTTGAAATTTCTGGAATAAAGGAGATTTTATAAATTTTAGATTCTTCAGAATCTCAAAAATTGGTAAAATCTTTGAAATCTTCAGAATTTTCGGAATCTTCAGGATCTTCAGAATTTTCAGAATCTTCTGCATCTTGAGAAACAAAAGAAAATTCAGAATCTTCAAAATCACCAGAATCTTTAGAATCTGTCGACTCTTTAAGATTTCTAGAACCTCTGGAATCTTTGGAATTTTTGAAATCTTTGGAATCTTTGTAGAACATATTCTTCAGATTCTTCGGAACCTCAAAATTCTTACATTTTTTGGAATTTTCAGTTTTCGAATTATTCAGAATCTTCAGAAAGATTAGAATCCTTAAAATATTTAGAGTCTTTAGGATCGCTAGGATATTTAAAATCTTTAGGATTTTTGGGACATTTAGAATCTTCAGAATTGTTACAATCCTCGGAATCTTCAGAATTTCCAGAATCTTTGGAATTTTCAGAATATCCGAAATTTCTGGAACCTTTAGAATCTTTATAATTTTTGGTATATTAGGAATTTTCAGTGTTCAGATTTTTTGTAATTTTCAGCCTTTGAAATTCTTAAAATGTTCAGAATCTTCAGAAATTTTAGAATATTTAGAATCTTTAGAATCTCTAGAAACACGGAATATCCGAAATTTTTGAAATTCTTGGAACCTCTAGTGTCTTGGAATATCAGGAATTTTTTAAATTCATGAAAGAGTTAGAACCTTTCAAATTTTTATAATCTTCAGAATCTTTCTAATCTTCAAAGTCTGATTTTGGCAAATCACATACCTTCTAAGAGAACAGAGGGTGGGTGGGAGGGGCTAGTATCTACTAAGATAAGACTGATTGTGGCAAATGAGATAGAACACCAAAGTCCCCCAAAATTGTTTTAAATAATTTACAAAAAAATATCCCTCAAATGCTCCCAAAAGTGTACACCATGGATACACAAGAGTCTCCCGAATTAAAGAAAAACACTGCGGCATTCAAGACTTTTTCAAATTCGTAAAAAATAAAACACTAAAAGCTCAGAAGATTTTTTCAAGTTCATCCAGCAACAAAACACGAGACCGGAAATTAACTGCGAACAATTTAAACGTAGGGTTTTGAAAACTTTGACAATTTTTATTACGTCAAACATTTTTAACTCGATTTTTACTGATTTCTACTTTCGCCCTATATCAGGCAAACATTGTTGTCAAATGGAATTTTATCAAATTATTACAAAAAAAAACACAACCATATCTTCGTACATTCTAACTGAAATGACAATGAATGTGTTGTTTAGTTCTTAAACCTAAAGGCATTTTTGGTTACTTTAGGGTATCTGATGACGAAAAACCTTTAATTTGTTTTTTGTTTAGGATTTCGTTCGTAGAAATTCCTGCAAAACCTGCAGAATAAATTTTGCATTGACTATCAGTTTTTGTTGACAAAAAAAGTTGTTAATTTTCAAGTAAGATCGCTTTTTAGACCCAAGAACTTCGCTATTTGTTGGCAAAGTGTTTTTCGTCTTAAAGTGTACCATAAAAGATCCATTATTTCACTGTTACTACCCACAAGGCAACTAAAATATTATCTCAGCCGCTATTTTCTCAACAACGTTAGATATTTTTAGATGTCAAACTAAAACAATAAAAAAATTTAACTAACAGAAATAAAAACCTCGAGAATTTTTTTTTGAAAACTTATAAAAAATGTTTACATAGTAATAGAATAAAACCCGCACAAACCAGTTCATTTGTGGCACTTTCGCTCGAAATGACAAATTAAGTCGTGCGTTTCGCGTCATCAGGGAGGCTTTTTTAAAAATTAACCTCGCAGGAATAGAAGCAATTTGGCTCCATCTTTGTAAGCGAAATGCTAAAATATAGCACAATTTTATTGTACCTATGGGTGCATATAATTATTTCATTTAATGAAGCAGGAATTTGCATGTCAACAAAATTCACTAAACTTCGTCGGTAATGAATGAGTTTGAAACAAAGTAGATTAAAAATTTTAAATATTAAATTATACAAAGTGGTCGCAGCTAAAATAGTAATTTTATCAAAAATTAGATCTCGTTCGGATAACGTTAATACGCAGATGTTTTCGTGGATGACATCACAACTATGGTTACTGTCAGTTGTAAACTCTTAACTTTATTACTTGGTTATAGTGCGGATAAACGTTTTTGCGAAATTCGTAATTAAAAGGAAAGCGTGACTGTGCTAACATTCGTCGGGATTAGTATGTATTTTGTGGGGTTAAATTGGAAAGAGAGTCCTAAATCATGTAAGAAAGTTTTCGAGGGGCCTTAAAACATAAGATGATTATAAGATCATCCCTTCAGGCGTCTCCTTATAATCCACAAAGCCAAGATTTAAGTCTTGACATTCCTGACAGTTTTTACCGATGAGATTCTCGTTGTGGAAAATTTCTCCATTTGAGTAAATAAAATATCAATTAAATTTTTATCGTCCGAATATATAAATAAATAAATTATATGACCGTAATGGCGCACTAATAATTTATAAACCTAGCTTGTAGTCCATTCATTCCATTTATTGCACCGGTTATATTCACCCGTCTGATCAATTCCACCGGGTTTTCCGTTAATTTATATAATAAAATCCGCAGGAAAGTTGAAAATTGGCGATCGTCGAGCTAGACATAGACTTGTTTATCGATCATGTCACAATATCGAGCCACTTAAACTGGTAGTAAGCTTCTTAGGGAATTCTGAGGAAGTCTTCTTCCGCTCACCGACTTCTCTTTGAAGAAGAACACTTAACTTGATGCAAATTTAATGGCAGATAGACTTAGTTCACAGATTGCCTCAAGGGACCGCCGGAATATCGATTCACCGGCACCTCCTTTTTAATTTTTAACCGTGATTTAATACCAACTTTATAATGCCTTAAGTGGAGATCCTCCAGGAAGAAAGTTTAGATAACCAGCCCCCGAATTACTCAAACCGCGCAACATTTTTGCGTTTTGTTCGACATTTAGTTAATTAATTGGCGGTTTGCCTGCAGGTTGGGCCTCATGACACATTTCGGCGCCCTCGCCGCCGCCAGCAGCAGGTACGCCGCCCTTTGCGGGGGCCCAACGGACCCCAGGACGTTACCATGGTACTGGGGACGGATACCCTCGCAGCTACCGCAGGAAAAGTCGAGTCCTAACGGTGAGTAATTTTGCACCTAAATAGAAATCTAAGTAAAGAAGATTAGCGCCGAGGTATTTTTATTGTTCGAAGCGATTGCGTTTCGTGTAACTGTCAACGCTGTTCAATCCGCATTTGTACGGCTTACGTCGATTAGACTCAAACTTAGCGTAAGGCTTCCGAAACCATTTTCGTGCTGGTTAAATACTCTCTCAAATATTGTCGCTAAATCTCCGGTTCGACAAGACACACGTCGGACTGATCGATACGAGTGTGCACTAGCTTAAAATTTCTAGAGTGTGGCGATACTTTGTAAGGTTACTTAATACACGCGACATTTCTAATTAAATTAATTCTGGTATGTAATACGTGGCGTTGAATTCAAAATCAAAAATCTAGATACGTTCAAACTCAAACAGATTTATAAAGGACTGCCAATCAAAGAGCTGTTTGTGTAATTTTAGTCGTAAAAGCGATTTGCGATAATTTTTCAAAACAGTTTCAAGCAATAAAACATTTTTCGAATCGTGGTACCCAATAATTAATTGTTGTTAATGGATTAATGCTAAAAACAAAATTATTCACATCGCGGCAGGTAATTGCTGCTTTATTGAACACTTCTCTGGATTGTTTTGTAATTTTCAGAGTGTTCATGAAAAAACACACGCTAATTGTTTTTGCTGCAAAGATTTTAAGTCTGCTGAAAAAAGTGAATTTTGACAGATATTTAAGAGTTTATCGTTGTCAAAACTCTATTAATTATCGATTTAATTATTAATTGGGCCCTTATTAATTATTCTTACTTATTTTCTGAGAGGGGAAGAGAGACAGTTTATTTATAAAAAAATAAAAATCTGCCTATTGAATACGAAATTCGTCTTTATGTATATGTTGCGTAGTGACTTGTTCAAAATTTTTATGACGTAAAAATGGTTTTCCAATATTGATCATGACATGAATAGTAATGCCCCGACGCCAATTAACATGGTGAAATTGTAATTACTACTAATACACAAAAAGACAAAACGCGACGGGTCAGATTTTTTCAGAAATCATACCAAAACTCTTATTTTCCATTAATTTTTAGCAACCAACGTGAGAATCGTTTCAGTTCAAAAATTTTAATGACAACTTGACATTAATTTTTTTATGCTTGCGGATCTGCCTAATCATGCCCACCAACAATATAAATGTTCCCTCAATTTTTGACAGTAAATAAAATTCGAATTGTATAAAATATCGTACTTCTGTACTTGTGCTTTATGAATTCGTTATGAAATTTTCCTTGTCGCAAGGGTTTTTTATTTCTTACATTGTTACTGCGTTGATCTATATTATATTGGTCAAATTACGAACGCTACACCCCATCGTTTATTATTATTTGGACAATGTACGTGTCGGCATTGACATACGTGTTCGTGCTTCTATCATGGGTAATTAAAGTATGATATATAATCCATTCCAAAAAACAAGCTCAACAAGAATCTCTAGAAAAATATATAGGGTGCTTTTAAAAAAAAGTTGGATGTCGTAATTACGGATGTTATTTAGTTTTTAGTTACTTTCATTGTTACTAGAATTATCTATATTTATTTTTTAATGTATAGTGGTTATCACGAATAATATTTAGCAAAATTAAATATTACAATATAACATTCGACTAATTTTCGTCCATCGGACGAATGGTCACTTTTATGTTTCCTCGACGTTTCATGACTCCTAGAATACTAAAAAAGTTTCCGTCTGACTGTCTATCTGTATGTTTGGTGGCTGTGTCCATTTTTAATATAATATTCGGTTTTTTTTCCTTTTTTTCCTTTTCTCTTGCAACGTAAAACCTCTCGGGAGCCCCAAGTGTCTGTTTTTAAGTGAAACCTTCTCGGAAGTCCGGACTGTCTTTTCTAAAAGTGTAAAACCTTCTCAGGGGTCCCAACTGTCTTTTTTTAAAAATGTAAAACCTTCGCGGGGTTCCAAACTGTATTTTGTAAAAGTGTAAAACCTTCTCGGGGGTCCCAAATGTCTTTTTTTTAAGTGAAATCTTCTTGGGGATCCCAATTGTCTTTTTTTAAAATGTAAAACCTTCTCGGGGGCCCCAAGTGTCTGTTTTTAAGTGAAACCTTATCGGAAGTCCCGACACTGTCTTTTTTAAAAATGTAAAATCTTGTCGGGAGTCCCAAGTGTCTTTTTTAAAAATGTAAAACCTTCTCGGGGACGTCAAATGTTTTTTTTTAAGAATGTGAAACCTTGTCGGGGGTCCCAACTGTCTCTTTTTAAGAATGTGAAACCTTCTTGGGGGTCCCAACTGTCTTTTTTTTTTAATGTAGAACCTCCTCGGGGACCTCAAGCGTCTATTTTTAAGCGAAACCTTCTCAGGGGCTCCGACTGTCTTTTTTTAAAAATGTAAAACCTTCTCGGGATTCCCAAGTGTCTTTTTTAAAAATGTAAAACCTTCTCGGGGACCCCAAGTGTCTTATTTTAAGTGAAACCTTCTCGGGGAACCCGACTTTCTTTTTTAAATATGTAAAACCTTCTCAGGGGTCCCAAGTATCTTTTTTAAAAATATAAAACATTCTCGGGGGCGCCAAATGTTTTTGTTTTAAGATTGTGAAACATTCTCGGGGTCCCGACTGTCTTTTTCAAAAATGTAAAACCTTCTCAGGGGTCCCAGGTCTCTTTTTTAAAAATGTAAAACCTTCTCGGGAACGCCAAATGCTTGCTTTCAGAATGTGAAACCTTCTTGGGGGTCCCAACTGTCTTTTTTTAAAATGTAGAACCTTCTCGGGGGCCTCAAGCGTCAATTTTTGAGTGAAACCTTCTCAGGGGTCCCGACTGTCTTTTTGAAAATGTAAAACCTTCTCGAGATTCCCAAGTGTCGTTTTTAAAAATGTAAAACCTTCTCGGGGGTCCCAAGTGTCTTATTTTAAGTGAAACCTTTGGTGGGGATCCCGACTTTCTTTTTTAAATACGTAAAACCTTCTCAAGGGCCCCAAATGTCTTTTTTAAAAATATAAAACTTCTTGGGGGCGCCGAATGTTATTTTTAAGAATGTGATACTTTCTCGGGGGTCCCAACTGTGTTTTTTTTAAGAATGTGAAACCTTCTTGGGGTTCCCAACTGTCTTTTTTTTTAATATAAAACCTTCTCGGGAGCCCCAAGTGTCTTTTTAAAAATGTAAAACCTTCTCGGGGGCCCCAAGTATCTGTTTCTAATTGAAACCTTCTCGGGTTCCCGAGGGTCTTTTTTAAAAATGTAAAACCTTCTCAGGGGCCCCGACTGTCTTTTTTAAAAATGTAAAACCTTCTCGAGATTCCCAAGTGTCGTTTTTAAAAATCTAAAACCTTCTCGGGGGCCCCAAGTGTCTTATTTTAAGTGAAACCTTTGGTGGGGATCCCGACTTTCTTTTTTAAATACGTAAAAATTTCTCAGGGGCCCCAAATGTCTTTTTTAAAAATATAAAACTTTCTCAGGGGCGCCGAATGTTATTTTTAAGAATGTGAAACTTTCTCGGGGGTCCCAAGTGTCTGTTTTTAAGTGAAACCTTCTCGGGAGTCCCGACTGTCTTTTTTAAAAATGTAAAACCTTCTCGGGGGTCTCAAGTGTCTTTTTTAAAAATCTAAAACCTTCTCGGGGGCGCCAAATGTTTTTTTTTTAAGAATGTGAAATCTTCTCGGGGGTCCTAACTGTGTTTTTTTAAGAATGTGAAACCTTCCTGGGAGTCCCAACTGTCTTTTTTTTAATATAAAATCTTCTCGGAGGCCCCAAGTGTCTGTTTTTAAGTGAAACCTTCTGGGGGTCCCAACTGTCATTTTTAAAAATGTAAAACCTTCTCGGCGTTACCAAGTGTCTCTTTAAAAAAGTAAAACCTTCTCGAGGGCCCCAAATGTCTTTTCTTTAAGGGAAACCTTCTCGGGGTCCTGACTGTCTTTTTTAAAACTGTAAAACCTTCTCAGGGGTCCCAAGTGTCTTTTTTGAAAATGTAAAACCTTCAAGGGGACGCCAAATGTTTTTTTTAAGAATGTGACCCCTTCTCGGGGGTCCCAACTGTGTTTTTTTAAGAATGTGAAACCTTCTTGGGGGTCCCAACTGTCTTTTTTTAAAATATAAAACCTTCTCGGGAGCCCCAAGTGTCTGTTTTTAAATGAAACCTTCTGGGGGTCCCAACTGTCTTGTTTAAAAATGTAAAACCTTCTCGGGGATCCCAAGTGTCTTTTTAAAAATGTAAAACCTTCTCGGGGGCCCCAAATGTCTTTTCTTTAAGGGAAACCTTCTCGAGGTCCCGATTGTCTTTTTTAAAACTGTAAAACCTTCTCAGGGGTCCCAAGTGTCTGTTTTAAAAATGTAAAACCTTCTCGGGGGCACCAAATGGTTTTTTTTAAGAATGTAAAACCTTCTCGAGGGTCCCAAGTATCTGTTTTTAAGTGAAACCTTCTCGGGAGTCCCGACAGTCTTTTTTAAAAATGTAAAACCTTCTCGAGGGCCCCAAGTGTCTGTTTTTAAGTGAAACCTTCTCGGGGCTCCCAAATATCTTTTTTAAAAATGTAAAACCTTCTCGGGGACCCCAAGTGTCTTTTCTTTAAGTGAAACCTTCTCGGGGGTCCCAACTGTCTTTTTTAAAAATATAAAACCTTCTCAGGGGTCCCAAGTGTCTTTTTTAAAAATGTAAAACCTTCTCGGGGGCGCCTAATGTTTTTTTTTAAGAATGTGAAACCTTCTCGGAGGTCCCAACGGTCTTTTTTTAAGAATATAAACCTTCTCAGGGGTGCCAACTGTCTTTTTTAAAAGTATAAAACCTTCCCGGGGGTCCCAAATTTCTTTTTTTAAGTGAAATCTTCTTGGGGGTCCCAACTATCTTTGAATTTTTGTGTTGGCAATTCTGAATTATTGGTATCCATGTTAGTATGTCAGTTCACAGTTGTCAATTTTGACATAAGGACGTCTAACAAACGTTCATAAATGTCACTTTGACAGTCAGGTATGCCATCATAAATTTTAAATAGTTGCCAAACTGACACAAAATGACAAACATTAATAGTCACTCACCTTTTGTTTACTCTAAAAAAACTATCTGGAAATTTAAAAATTATGTAACAAAAAAGCAAAAAAGGGTTTATTCTCTGAATTTTTCGACTTCATTTACTATTTTATTTATTTTTGTTCTCACTCTTCCTCAAAGTCTGTGGGTTAGACACTGATTATTTTCAGAATTGGCAACATTGGAAAAGACTACTTTCTGCAGATTTCTTCAATAAAGGGCATAACAGAGTCAGAAATAAGCTTCGAGTATATTTCGTCATTTAATACGCATAATTTTAAAATTCAACGACTTACTTGAAAAGGACGTTCAAAATAAATATTTGGAGAGGCCATCTTAACGAAATTTATAACGTAAGCCAAAAACAGATAAAGTTTAGGGCTCAGAACCTACACTTTGCCTTAGGTCATTTAACTAAACACTAATTTTAATCACAATATAATATAATTTCTTGGAATTATAGCAACAAATAACAACAATAATAAATTCTGTTAACATTTTTCGCATAAACAGTAAATAGGTATTCGAAAATTATTTTCACTGTTTTATTCCAGTTTCGTAAATTTTCGTTAAGGTTTTTTTTTAACTACGAAAATGAATAATACTGCTTTAAAATTATATAGTAGATATTCTCCTTTATATCAAAACTACCTAAAATTGGAACATAAATCAGCTTTTACTTGTAAAGTTTTGTAACAGTAGTTGAGCATGAAAGATGTGGGTGTCTAAGCAATTCAAAACTTAATTGGTTTCGATGGATATTATCTCAATCAAGACCCTAATGTAAATAACATCGATTACAACAAATAACAGACCCCCGATATACTGTTTCAACCAATTTAAATCGATCTTCCTTCTGAAATAGTTGTAGTTATAAACTTAAATACAACAACTTGTACTTTAAATAAATCATGCAAATAGCACGAACGAATCATTTACAGAAAACTCGGCCCTGATTGGTCACAGCAATTTTGACGTAGATTTTTTTCCAGGTGGCTCAACCAACGACGACCAGTCCCCCCCCATCTCGCCCCGTGACAACCAAAACACGTCACACACAATCGAAAACAGCCGATCGTCTCGCCCTTCGTCTCCTTCCGATCACCAGCGATCTCCCCCCGGCAGCCCCCACCACATCCCATCAACCCATCCCGCCTTCCTCGACCAAAACTACATCAACATGCGCTCAAAAAGCCCATACCGAGAAGGCGACAACATGGTCATAGACGAAGAAGTGGAAGAAGACGAAAGCGACTACGACAACAACGACAAAGACAAGAAAATCCAGAACTCCAACCTAAGTCCCGGCAACTCCCTCTCCAACAAAAGGAAAAAGAAAACGAGGACGGTTTTCTCTAGATCGCAAGTTTTCCAATTAGAGTCGACGTTCGACATGAAGAGGTACTTGTCGTCGTCAGAGCGCGCCGGTTTGGCTGCTAGTTTACACTTGACGGAAACCCAGGTGAAGATCTGGTTCCAGAATAGGAGAAACAAGTGGAAGAGGCAGCTGGCGGCGGAGCTGGAGGCGGCTAATATGGCGCACGCCGCACAGAGGTTAGTGCGGGTGCCGATTTTGTACCATGAGTCGGCCAACTCGACGATAAGGCACCCGTTTGAGCAGAATCATGGGTTGACTTTGCACCATCCGTTGGAGGTTAGTAGGGATGGTAGTACCAGTGGGGGTAGCTCGGTGACGTCACCCGCTGGGTATCCTAGTTCCTTATACTATCACCATCAAGCGGCTGTGGCTGCGGCAGTGCATAATTTACCATCCAGTCCAGTGAATCGACCGCCCATGTCTGGACTCGTCTGAATAAGTGCAAATTTATAAACGAATTATGGGTTCTTGTGCAAAGGTTTTGTTATAAATCAAAAGATTATTGTTTACTCGGCCTCATCACAGTTACGTGCAAATTAGTTTATTTATTGTAGAAAATGCTTGTGTACATACTGACTGTAATTTATATATTTATTTATTTTATGTAGCTAATTGTACATATTGGATTTATAAGCAGCTACCACAGTTACCTATACGCCAAAAACTAGTTGATAATTATGTGTATAACTGTGTAGTAAACAAATGTTGTTACAGTGAATAAATGGACATCCAGTAAAAACCGAGTTTTCATTACGAAAGAGTCAAAGTATTCAAAATTAATCCAAAAAAAAATAATTCCAGGTTTCAGTTAAAAAATGTTATTTTGGTATTTTTGAGTTTAAAAGTAACAAATTCAAGAGAAAAAAAAAAATAAAAAAATCTCGTAGGTAGTGATAATAATCAGGTCTGATCAAGTGAAGTTAGGTCACGTCAAGTAATTTCAAGTCAGATAAGGTCAAGGCAAGTTTGGTTAAGTCATGACTAAGTCGGGACAGATCAGGTCAAGCCAGGTAGTCATTTCAGGTCAGGTTAAGTCATTCAGCTCTATGCGAATTAAGTCAACTCAGATGAAGTCAGGCCCAGTCAAATCAGGTCAGGCCAAGCCAGGTCAAGGTAAGTTTAGTAGGATCAAGCCAAGTCAGATCAGTCAAGTCAGGCCAGGTCAAGTCATTTCAAGTCAAATCATGTCAGCTCAGATCAAGTCAAGTCAGGTCTAGTAAGGTCAACTCAAAGCAAATTTTGTCAGGACAAGTCAGGTCCGGTCAAAGCAAGTTAGTTCAAGTTAGATCAAGTCAGGTCAGATTAAGCCCTAGTGACGTGATCTTCAGAAACAGAAGTACTCCATCATCGTTATTTTTGTATTTTTGAGTTTAAAAGTAACAAACTCAAAGAAAAAATTAAACTTTCGTAGATTTTGGAAAAGATGGGATCATTATGGTGATAATCAGGTCAAGTTAAGTCATCTCTTAACAAGTCATGCCAAATTAGATCAAGTCAGGTCAAGTGAAATCAGTTCAAATCAAGTCGCGTCAGGCAGGTCAAGTCAACTCACATGAAGCCAGGCCAAGTCAAGGTAAGTTTGGTCAGATCAAGTCAATTCAGATCAGTCAAGTTAAGCCAGGTCAAGTCATTTCAAATCAGATCAAATCAGCTCTAATCAAGTCAAGTCAACTCAGGTCAGTTCAGATCTACCCAGGTCAAGTTAAGGCAAATTTTGTCAGGTCAAGTGTGGTCCGGTGAAACCAAATCAAGCCAAGTCAAGTTAAGTCAGAGTAAGTTCTAGTAACATGAGCTTCAGAAATAGAAGAACCCCAGCAACGTTATTTTTGTATTTTTGAGTTTAAAAGTAACAAAGTTTAGAGAAAAAATTCAAGTCCCGTAGATTTTGGAAAACATGGAATCGTTGGGGTGATAATCAGTTCAGGTTAAGTCATTTCTTGACAAGTCAAGCCAAATCAGATCAACTGAGGTGAAGTCAAGTCAAGTCACATCAGGCCAGGTTAGTTCAGGTCAAGATAAATTTGGTCAGATTAAGTCAGCTCAGGTCAAGTCAAGGCAAAATTAGTCAGGTCGAGTTAAGTCAGGTCCCGTCAAAGCAAGTCGAGCCAAGTAAAACAAGGGCAAGTTAGGTCGGAGTTAAGAAAGTTCTTGTGATGTTAGCTACAAAAACAAAATTACTTCAGCAATGTTATTTTTGTATTTTTTAGTTTAAAAGAAATAAATTAGAACAAAATTCAAACTGTCGTTAACAAGTCAGGTCAAGTCACGCCAGATCAAGCTATTTAAGGTCAGGTCAGCTCAGTTCAAGTCAACTCAGATCAACATTAGGTTGGTATCGAATCCGGTCGGAGCAACTCAATTCAGATCAAACCAGGCCAAGTCAAGTCAGGTCAGACTAAGCCAGGTCAAGGCAGGCCTGGTCAGATCAAGCTAAGTCATGTCAAGTCAAGTTAGCTCGGGTCAACTCAAGTTAGATCAGGTCAATTCAGCTCAAGTCAGATCAAACCAGGCCCGGTCAAGTAAGGTTAGAATCGAGAAAGTTCTAATGATCGATGCTATTGGTATACTTTTGAGTTAAACGTTACACATTCTAGAAAAAAAAATCTGGTTCTTATAGAGTTTGAAAAAGACAGAGTTGTAGTTGTGATAATCAGGTCTGATCACGGTTGGTCAAGTCAGACCAGGTAAAATTAAGTCAAGTCAAGTTAGGTCAAATCATGTCAGACTATGTCAAGTCAATTCAGATCAAGTCAGGTCAAATAAAGTCAAGACACGTCAGGCCAGACCAGATCAATTCAGACCAAGTCAGGTCTAGTCAAGGCAAATTCGGTCAGGTCAAGTCAAATCCATAGTAGGTGTCTATGATGGATTTCTCCTCTATTGAAAAAAAGCCAGGTGGAATCAAATCCGGCCAGGTTAATCAATTCAGATCAAACCAGGCCAAGTCAAGTCAGATCAAAGCAAGTCCAGCCAGGCCAAGTTAATTCAAGTTATGTAGGTCAGAATCATGGAAGTTATATTGATGTCAGCTCCAGAAAAAAATTAAAAAGTTCCGTAGACTTTGGAAACGTCGTTCAAGTGAGAAAAAGACCAGATCAAGTCTAGTTAAGTCAGACCAGATCAAAACTAGTCAAGTCAGGCCAGGTCAATGATTTCACGTCAGGCTAAGTCAGCCCAGGTAAAATCAATTCAGATCAAATCAGGTCTAGCCAAAAGGCCGGATCAAGTCAAGGTAAATTTGGTCGGATTAAGTCTAATCAGGTCAACTCAAATTAAGTCAAACAAGGTTAGATCAGGACAGGCCAGATCGAGTCAACTCCGAAGTCAGGACAAGTCAAGTCAGGTTAGGCCAAGATAAATTTGGTCAGGTCAAGTCAAATCAGGTCCGGTCAAAGCAAGTCAAGCCAAGGCAAGTTAGGTCAGAGTCAAAAAATTTCTGGTGACAGAAGTACTCCAGTAATGTTATTTTTGAATTTAAAAGTAACAAACTGTGGAGAAAAAATCCAAGTTTCATAGATTTTGGAAAAGATGGAATCGTGGTAGCGATGCTAAAGTCAGATCAAGTCATTCTGGGCCAGGTCAAGTTAATGCAGATCATGTCAAATCAGGTTAATGGAGATTTGATCAGATCAAGGCAAGTCAAGTCAGGTCAGAGCAAATTTGGTCAAATCAAGTCAAGTTAGACGTGATCAAATCAAATCGCACCAGGTCAAGTCAGGTAAAGTTAGGTCAGAACCGAGAAAGTCCTAGTGATGCCAAATCGAAGAACAGAAGTACTCCAACATAGTTTTTTTCTAATTTTTGAGTTTAACATTTAAAAGTAATAAACTCTAGAATCCTTTTTTGGTGGGCTTTTTTCTTTTTCTTGTTTTTTTTATATATTTTTTTGTGGTATATTTTTCGCCTGTTTCTTTTTGTCTACTTTTTGACACTTTTAACCGTTTTTCACCTTTTTTCGCCTTGTTGAATTTTCTTCATTCGTCTTTTTTTTCTTGACTTTTTTTGTCATTTTTTGGCGAGTTTTTTCGCCTCTTTTTCGCTTTTTTTTTCTCCCCTTTTTTTGTCCGCTCTTGGTCGATTAATCTTTGCCTAATTTTTAACTCCTTTTTTATCGGATTTTTTTTTGACTCTTTTTGCTGCCTTTTTGTCTTCTTTTTTTACCAGCTTTTTATCGAATATTTTTGCCTATTTTTATCGGATGTTATTTAGTGGCCTCTTTTGGACTTTTTGTCATTTTTGCGCGTTTTTTACTTTTAATGGTTTTTAATCACCTCTTTTTTCCTACCCCTTTTTAATTTTTCGCCTTGTGTGTCACCATTTTTCTGTCCCTTTTTTGCCTTTTTTGTAGAATTTTATTTAGTCGCCTGTTTTGTAGACTTCTTTTGTCAGTTTCTTGTCGCTTTTTCTATCGTTTTTCATGTCACTTTTCTAGGGATTTTTTTTTAATTTTTTACATGTTCTGTTCGCCTTTTTCGTCACCCCTTTTTTTGTCTTTGGTCGTTTACTTTGCCTGGTTTCAAAATTCAAAGTCTCGTTGTGGTGATAATTAAGTCAAGACAAGCCAGGTCAAGTTATCTCAAGTCAGATCAAGTCAGCTCAGTTCAAGTCAAATTAGATCATGTTAAATCAGATCAGCATTAGATATCCATTATGAGTTTCTTCTCTCCTGAAAAAAAAGGTCATCTCGAATCAACTCGGGCCAGGTTAAGTCAAATCAGAACAAGCCAGGCAGAGTCAAGGCAAATTTGGTCAGGTCGAGTCAATTCAGGTCCGGTCAAAGCAAGTCAAACCAAGTAAAACTAGATCAAGAGTTGAGAAAGTTTTGTAGTCAGTTCCAGAAACAAAATACTTCAGCAATGTTATTTTTGTATTTTTGAATTTAAAAGTAATAAATTAGAACAAAATTCAAGGTCTTCTGGATGTCGAAATCTACAAGAAAATGTCTAGCTAATTTTCGAAAATGGTTGAAAAATGGTCGAAAGTGTCAAAATCAGTCATATCTTACAAAATGCTAGCCCCGCCCACCCGCCCTCTGTTTTCTTGGAAGATATGTCATTTGCCAAAAACAGTGTTATCTTATCACGTACTAGCCCCGCCCACCCGCCCGCTATTTTCTTGGAAAGTATGTATTTACCAAAATCAGTTTTATCTTAGCAAGTGCTAGTCCCGCCCACCCCCCAGTCTTCTCATTCTAAGGATTAATTCTATTTCTGCTCAGTATAAGATCTTTCATTCAGACCGGGTAAAATTAACCACTGAAATAAAGACAGGGTGGGTGGGCGGGGCTAATTATATTCCGCTATGGAGTGGGGGCGGAAGCCAATAGAATCTAGGATGTAAAAGAAGTAAAAAAAAACATTAATAGTAATTTTTTTATACTATTTGCTACTGGAGCTGTAAAAATTACTATACTTCAACTGGCGATTTTGGAAGAA